TTTTCCGAATTTCCGAAAATTCCGAATAAATCGGAATCGGAACTCATTTTTAAATTCCGAATATTTCGAAATCGGAATCGGAATTGAGATTTCAGTTCCGAAAAAAATCGGAAATTTTCCGAAGAGCCTATTTCCGATCCGATCCGTCCGATTTCCACCCCTACTCACAATTGATCCAGTTGCTTAGCAAATATGCATCATAATGGCCGTAATTTTCTACCTCATAGGTACTAAAAACTTTTGGTTGAAATGAAGTACCCAACACATTATACTAAAACAGCGTATCCACAATTTATCCTAATAAATAATAAAGTATCCGTATAGACAAGCTGCGATATATTTCTTGACATATAAGTTTCTTACCTCTAAGGTCGTTTAAATGCAACAAAGAACTAGTATTGCTTATGAGATAAGTTGCTCTATATATAGAGTTTTTTTTAATCAAAGACACCATGATCTTTCTTATGATCATGGATTACTTATACTTTATGTAATTATTTAGAAACACACACTAAATGAACCATCAAAACAAACACACATAACATGAATACATAGAAAGCCAAAACGCCGTGAGTAGCTAAGTTCAGTCAAATTAACTAACAAGTTAAGTAATTGAAATATGCTAATAAAAAAAATGTTCTTGGTCTAAGATTTTTCTCCAAACTCCCATCTTATTTGATTTTCCCCAAATTACGAAAACACCCTTATTTCTCTCTATTTTTTTTATTTTTTTGCTTTTATTTTTCTCTATTTTTCTCCATTTTCATGTCCACTTTCTATTCCACTCTCTCTTATTTTTCCGCAAATATCACATCTCTCTCTCTCTCTCTCTCCCCTTTGATTTTGTCTTTTCATTTTCCCCCTCTTTCTTCCCCTCTTTTTCTCATTCTTCCCCATCTCATTTTTTCCCATCGAAATCAGTTTAATTTTTGCTCTATGAATACCATATGTTATGATTTTTTCGCTGGAAAATTTTTTTTGTCCCCGGGATTTCATCTAGATTACCGAAATTTCGATCTTAAAAAGGATATTAATAGATGAAGAAATTATGTTTGACTATTAATTTTTTATAGTTGAATATAGGGAAGCTATCATTGACTAACCACTTTTTATAATTGAGTCTAGGAACGATATAGTTGACTACCAAAAAATTTTCATTGTTGCTTTTTCAAACAATATCGCTGATATAGACAATTTGGTATGTGGTTTGTGTTTCCTTCTTCACCTTCTTCGATCTTTTTTACCGTCGTTTTAATATGATTTCGCGAGAATACAACAAATTAGAGTTTGTTTGGATATGGTTGAGTTGTTTAGTAAATTGGAAATGGAAATGGGAAATATTTATACGAGATTTGTGGAAAACGATGGAGGATTTGAACGATTTTCTGAGTTTCAATTGAAATTATACAATTTCCTTTAATAAATGGAGACATTTGCTAAAGACTCGTGAGCGCTAATTGTCTTTCAAATCAGGATTTACCAAATTTTGCAATTTGCTAAAAGTCCTTAGTTCTTCACACCCGCCTTCATCAAGCTACCCTAACAGTTCTCGGTCAAATTTCGTCCAAGTTCGCTACACTTCGTCAAATCTGCTCCACCTCCGCTCTCCGCCACTGACATCACCGAAGCTTCTCCACACAACCACACACAGGCACATACACATAATCACAACCATACACATGCACACACATGCGATTTTGGTTACACTCTCACATCCCCGTTGTAACTTAATAATTATAAACCAAAATGGAAAAATATGAACAATTGTTTGGAAATGGTGATGGTAATGTTGGTGGTGATGTACGCACCAAAGATTAAGTTTTTTTCTTCAACTTATTTTAACTAAGTTATGTAACTAAGCTATGCAAATAACATTTCTAAGCTGCCTAACTTCATTGTATAATTACATGAAAAACACATTTTTTTTCCTTAAACTTTTGCTCGTTAATGTAAAATTAAGCTATGCAAATAAGTTTTCTAAGTTATTTGTATAAGCTTTGTGTATGTATTGTGGAATGCATCTATTCTTGTTTTAGTTTTTTCTTCAGTTTATTTTAACTATGATGTTGCTTACTAATATAATTAAGTTGTTGCATATTAATATAACTAAGTTGTGCAAATCACCAGGTTCCCGCTACTGTTAGTTTTCCTAAGCAATTCCGTTAGAGAGACTCCAGACATAGCGTCAGATCTAGAGCGAGAAACCGCGCAAGGACTTTTAGCAAAAATACAAAATGCGTCTACCTTATAGCTATAGAGTATTTTTTAGGGGTTTAGCTAATTATCCCAAATAAATTGAGGTGGAAGTTGTTTCACTTAGAAAATATAGAGGTATTTTCGGGTTGTGAAAAAGTGAGAGGTTCCAGCTATTAAAAAATAATGTAGGAAAACGACGGATGTATGAGGCATTGACTCTATCTTATGGTGAAAAAGTTTTGTTTTTCTAAATAAAATTCATATCATTTATGGCCGGCAATCATGAATTTTATTAAATGATTATGGACGATTATTAAGGTTGGCCCGAATGGCATGGTTGTTGTTCTTCTAAGTACGGTGAAATGAATTAAATAAGATTCTCAGTATGGGCGGTGAATATATTATAAATTAATTACTCCATAAAAAAAAAAATATAAATTACTAGTATCATTTTCCGTGCGACTTTTCAAGTATGACATACAAGATAGCACTTCAAAAGTAAAAAAGTTAATAAAGTACTAAGTTGAAAATAATATTTGCAACCAACAATTATAAAACTTACAAAAATATAACTTAAAAACCAATATTTTTACGAGATATTAATTTATATATTAATATATAACGAACCATTTATTTTGTAGATATATGAGTTGAATTTAGAAACATATTTAAATAATTATAATATCATCTAAGTATATTATCAATCAAAAACTTATTTATGTTGATCTTATGTTAATGTTTGAAGGACTAATTCACTTATATATGTTTTTCTAGTATCTATTAATTTATTTAAAGTCATTACAAATAATTATAAGAATAGAATATTTCATTCAATAAATAAAAGATTCCGTTAAAGTTAACTAAATTATACAACGAAAGACTATATTGAGATAAATTATAGTATTGAAGGATGATATAATAAGACAATTAGAACATGAGAGACTAAAGTAGAACTAAATACTAGGTTGATGGACAATTAGTGTGATTTGGCTTATCATGTTAAACACTAGTATAATTGTATCTCAAATGCAAATATATAAAATTAAATTTCAATACGCTAATTTTTCTTTGTTCCTTTTCCTTTTGGTTTTACTTGTTCTTAAATTCTTTTTTTTTTTTAACAAATAATCTTCAAAAATATATTATTTTCGTCTTTGTTCTGTACGTTTTTTGAATAAAACCCATAAAGTAGCAAATCATAGTCTATTTTGAAGCTACACACCCCCACACCAACTCCTAATTATACTACTTCATTTGTCCCAATTTAAATATGGTTTTAGGCTGTTGCGGACATATTAAGAAAATCAATAAATGCGTATATTAAAGGAAAAAAATATATATTTATAAATGTTTTTTTACTAAAATACCCTTGATATTAATTATGTCTCAACTAATTAAGTAAGAGTGATCAAGGATAAAATTGAAAATAATATAACTAATGCTTCATTAAAAATCCAAAATAACAAATAATTTTACGCAAAAATAATCATCAAAAAACGAATATTATGGGATAAGGGGTAGTTAAGAAGAGTTATTTTTTGTTTTCTTAATATTTAAAGCACCTATTAATTAAGGGAGCATAACCAACCATATTGTCCACGTGTCATTCATCTAATGGCATCCAATTTTCTTGATTAAATAGACAGTCCAGCCCAACTGTCCTCCCTAATTTGCACGACGATCGTTTCGCTCATAAATTAAACTTCTTATTCCTGACCGATTGAAAAAGTTAATGAAGATCAAAATGCGAAACCAACAAGGTAACAACTTCAACTCATTTATATATTTGTGTCATGTGTTCAATGTGATAATAGTTTACATAATCCAATTTCATATATATATTTATTTAAAGCAAAAATAATATACATTAATTAAGGTGAAAAAAAAAGCACAATCAAGAAATACAGTAAGCTAGGAAACAAATAAAATTTAGCATTCCATTTAATTCGATATATATATATATATAAAAGCATTGCATAATACTCTGCAAAAAAAATGTTGATAAAATGTATTTGGTGTAGAGAGAAGAATTATGGAAAATGGGTCAATATTTTCAAGAAGTTTTGGTGGGAGGGAGTTGAAGAAGCTGGGATTTGGAGCGTTACTCATTTGCTGTTTCATGGCATTTAGCTTTCGCACAGTCTCCAAGCAACCAACTTGTAAGTTAATCCATTTCAATTTTCACTTTTTTTCTTGTAAGAGTTCAAAACTTTTTCAAAAAAAATAATTAAAGGTCAAATAATTATAAATGCACTATTTTCAACAATTATGAGAAGTCTTTTATCAAACAATGTCTTGTTTTTTGGTTTTTTTTTTTTTTATATTGTTAATTTTTTATTTTTTAGACTTCGATTTTTTTAATGATTTTGAGTTTGTAGGGTTTGCATTTTATAAATAGAAGGTGGTGATTGGAAAAGGATGATTGAGTAAAAATTGGGATTACATTTAGGTTATGAATTAAATAAGTTTTACAGAATTATATAAATATGAAGGGTATGATAATATATTTATATAAGGATTTTTTTTTTTTGAAATATTTAGTAATGTGAACAGCAAAATATTGACTATATTATAAAATTATTCCTTCAACTTTGGCATCATTACAATAAAAACTCGAATATTGTGAGAATTACGAATGTTGTCTTAAAGATTTTATTTGTTCACATCCCTCAATAGATGCAAATTGTTCTTCAAAAAAAAAAAAAAAATTAGATGCAAATTGCAATATATAAAAGTGCATAATTTAAAAACTTAACCTTCTCTTTTATGAAAATGGATCAAATCAATTATATTTTTTAGAATTTGCTCTCAATACTATTACAACTACAATCAATGCATAACATGACAAATTAAAGCGTATATTCGATTTATTTGATGCTACATTCAATGAACTTTTACCATATAAGATCCCACCGTCCATGTGCATATATGTATGATATGTGTAAATATACGATGTAAAATTACTCGATGTAGCATTTATAAGACATCTTCGAATCAATCACGTGCATTCACTATCACATTCATCATGTCCATTTAATTCTCCCCTAACATCGTTCATGTTCGACCATTCAGATTCCCATACCGACCGTGAGAATATTGTACGGCCGATAATCCATAATTTGAGCAATTCGAGATCCGATGTAATTGAAATCAACGGCGACGTAAGAATCCATGCAAACACAACCACCATTTACATTCATCCGACGACCACCTTTGACGGTCAAACAAATTATTCCACCGCCATAAAACCCTACGCCCGAAAAGGAGACAACTTCATCAAAGACTACGTCACCACTTGGAACATCATCACCATCAATAATCATCAATTGCCGGAAAATTTGCATGCACTTGATTGCGGCCGGAATTTCACGGTCCCCGCCGTAATATTCTCCATCGGAGGATATTCCGGCAACCACTTCCACGACTTCACCGATCTCCTCATTCCACTCTACCTAACTTCCCGCCAATTCAACAGACAAGTGATCTTCCTAGTATCCGACAAACGCTCCACGTGGATCTCCAAATACAACCTAGTACTCCACAAACTCTCCAAATACGAAATTATCGACACTAACAACGAGGAAAACCAAGTCCTATGCTTTCCAAAAACAATCGTCGGTCTTAAATCCCACAAAGAATTCGGCATCGACCCTTCAATCCCACCGCATTACTCCATGCGAGATTTCAAGCACTTCCTCCGAAGCACGTATTCTTTAGAGAGAGAATCCGTGATAAGCACGAGTGCTTATAGTAATAAAAAACCTCGCATGCTTATCGTGTCGAGAAAAAAAAATCGGTTCATAAAGAACGAGATTGAAGTAGCCGAAATGGCTCGGAAGGTGGGATTCGATGTGGTGGTGGAAGAAATGGGGTTGAATTTAACGGTGGTGGCGAAACTAGTGAACTCGTTCGACGTGTTGATGGGAGTGCATGGTGCCGGTCTCACAAACATGGTGTTCTTGCCTGAAAACGCGGTTGTGATTCAAATTATACCGTTTGGTGCGGATTTGTGGGCTAAGCCTTACTTCACTTTGCCTCCAAAGGACATGAATTTGAGGTATTTGGAGTACAAAGTGGGCTTGAACGAGAGCTCGTTGTTGGGAAAATATCCGGTCGGTAGCGAGGTTTATAGCGATCCGGGTGCCGTGTACAAGAAGGGGTTTATTCATTTTCATGCTGTGTATTTGAAAAATCAAGATGTGACTCTTGATTTTGTCAGATTTAGGGAGGTGCTTTTGAAAGCCTTGGAGCTTATTCAACATTAATATTTTTATTTTTATGTTGTGGGATTATATTATAAGATGTTTGTAATTGTTCTAATTTTAAGATATAGCATTCAAAAAAAAATTCAGAATTTGGGAAAATGGGATTTTTTTCTGACCCAAGCCACATTTAAATCTGATTTTGTAGATGCACCCGGTGAAATAGTCCGGATGATTTTAAACCATAGATCTACGCATGAATAAAAGACAAACACCCATGTGTATGTGTTCTTAGTACCTATGTGTATGTGTTCTTAGTGAGTAGTTATTTTTATAGATTTACGATTTAAAATAATCCAGTGTATTTCATCAGGTACAGTATCCAGAAATCTTTTTATTTATTTTTAAAAACCAATTGTATTGATTGGTATTATAAACGTAAGTTTAGCAAATAAATATGGACCTTTTTTAATTATTATTGAAAATTAAATCTAATCCGGATATCAGAAATCACATAAATTCCAATTATAATCATACAAATCAGAAATCGGAACTTTCGAAAACCGGAACGAATAATATTGTTCTAAAAAGACAAAGAAAAATCAAATTTGAAAGATGAACTAATTCAAATGTTTAAATTACTGACAGCAATTGGTAACACCGCCCTCGTACAGTAGGAATTGGTTTCGCGCAGAAGCACAAGACATTTAACAAAACAACTAATCACTAAAACAACAGCTTTTCAAGAAAGCTTACACAAGTTCATTTATTCCTCAATGCTTGAAACCTAGTTCGCGTGTTAGGGAAAGTATATGTTCAACGATCAGAGCCGAGGCATTTGGCTTTGCAGCTTGCACAGCCCTCTCACACATCTCTGCCATCACTCTCTCGTTTCCTGTCAATTATAAAAACGTTACGAAAGCAAATTCTAAATTAATAAGGCTAATATCATAAATCCCATTGAACCGTTTTGGATAATCTCGTGATAAGATGCAATTCGTTCGAATTGTTGAGGCTAACGACTATTTCGATGGAGCTATTAGAAAATGTAAGAATTCATACCGACAATTTCTTGGATGGCATTTCTAAGTGTGACCGAGTTCAGCTCGTCTTCGAGAATAACCCTTGAACCAGCTAAATCAGCCATTAGAGAAGCATTTTTGAACTGATGTCCCTCTGCAACATTCGGCGATGGTATCTACAATATTTGAAAAACGAAAAAACTTAATTATCGACAAAAAAAGTAGAGTATCTTTAGTTTTGTATTTACAGCTACGCACATGAACATGATACTAAATCGATGATGGGTAACAAAACTAGAGTATCTTTAGTCTGTCGGATAATTTCAAATTAAAAATATATTCTACTAGGCACGTGAAAATTTCAAATTTACACCATCCCCCTCTTAAAATTAGTACAGTAGAACCTCGATAAATTAATAACCTCGTTTAAATAATATGCTTCCTCGGTCCCGACTCGAAGACGACATGCTAAAAAATATTTCATTAAATTAATATTTCGCTACATTAATAGAATTTGATTGGTCCCCACTGCATTAATTTAACTGTATCTCGTTTTCCTACAAAAATCCCAAGAATCGAATAAGACATATTTACGTATACGTAAACTAAAATTACACTACTCCACCCCTCCCAAAAATTATGCTTCTATCTCGATCTTATTCCGGACTTATAAAACCACGAGTAGTCCAACCAACGTAGCTTGATTAGAGAAACGAAAACGCAAAAGGAACATACGATTGCCTCATGCAATCGAATTAAGCTAATTAAGCTATTAAGATTTTAAGTACCAAAATACAAGGTTTCCCCGTGGCCAAGATTTCAGAGCAAGTCATCGCGCCAGATCTCGAAACAATTACGTCTGCAGCTGCATATGCCAAATCCATAGCATTCAAGAACCTTCGCAATATCAGCACTACTAGATAACCGAAACAAATAAAATTAAAAAGAATTAAAATCAAATTACGGTAGTGCAACACTCACGGAGAAAGAAGTAGCCGAGGATGGTTTCTCACACGGCTCTCGATTTCACGGAATGCCTTCAATCCCGTCTGCCAAACGACGAACAAGTCTTCGTTCTCGTTCAACATCGAACAATACACATTAGACAGAGCGATGTTAATCGTAGTAGCACCTAATGAACCTCCGAGCACCAACACCACCTTCTCCTTCCCGATAACCGCCGCATTCGGAAAGAAATGCCGTCTGGCGGCAGATTTCGTACACGTCTGCTTCGTCAATGAGAATCTCACAGGATTCCCACACACAACACACTTGTACTTCTGCCAAAAACACTCCAAGGTGGAATTAAAGGCAACGCAGACTTTATCAGCGAATAGGGAGAGAACTAAATTTGCGATACCCGGTACGGAATTCTGCTCCTGTATCAGTAGCTTACCCCCGCCTCTAATGGCGGCGGCGAGGCAAGTCGGGAACGAAACGAAGCCGCCGGTGCCGATAACAATGTGGGGATCGAATTCGCGTATGATTTTGTAGCTCTTGAGTGTGGATTTTGTGAGGAGATATGGAAGGAGGAAGAAGTTTTGGAAGGAGATTAAAGGGCGGGCGAGTGGGGCGGTGGGGACGGCGGTGAAGGGGTAGCCGGCGGCGGGTACGGCGGTGGCCTCCATGCCGTTGGGGGTTCCGACGAAGAGGAACTGGGTCTTGGGTTTCGAGATTTTGAGCTCGTCGGCTATGGCTAGTGCGGGGTAAATGTGGCCGCCGGTGCCTCCGGCGGCGAAAACGACTCGGAGGTTTTCAGTGGTGGCGGAGGCGGTGATGGTTGTGTTACAGCGTGGCGGAAGTTGCCGGGAAAAGGGGCGGCGGGATCGGAGGCGGGTGTTTGGTGGGATTAAAGGAGGGTAGACAATGGTAGCCATTGTTGAACACAAGAGAACGGCACTTTCATTAATGGCCGCTTCCAAATTTTGTACTTTCCAGATTTATATTAAACTCCCCAAATCATACTTTACTTTACACTTCAGTCCTCATTAAAATTAAAATCCCTATGAAATGCCCTGCTTTTTGAAATTCCTACATATAGATCCCTACATACTTGAGAGAATAGCCACAATGCCCCTATTTTTTTTATTTTTTTTTTGTGTTCTTCTATATCTTTCGTTTCTTTCTTCTTCGTTCGTCGACAACAACATTATCGAAGCAAGAATACAAAGAATGGCAATTGAATCCCCATCTCTTTATTATCTATTTATCTCGTCGGGTTAGGGAGTAATTTTTTTATTGTTCGTCAATTATGATACTTGATTTGTACATTGTTATGAAATTATTTCATATGTCTTATTTGTGTTGTACTAAAATGGATGAATCAAACGAGTGTATATAGATTTCAATTGTATCTCGTAACGTGAAGGAAATCTGCATGCAATTTTCAATTGATGCATTGAGACATTGTATTTGTAGGGAGGCCAAATCTTCAAAGATCACGGTGAATTTTGAGTTATGATAAAGAACTATACTGCAGTGCTAATAACCAAAAAACAAATTGTACAATAAATGATTGGCAAAAGATCCCTAGGTATATGAAGTGATGAAAATTGCAAATAGATGAATTCGTACATGGGGTATCTAATTCTAGTTCGATTCCAAATTTTGTGAATGAGAAATTGAGAGAGGAGTCAAATTACAAATACGTAAGTTTGGGTTTGATAGCAATTGTCCATGTGCGAAAGACCCGATTTTAGAGGTCAGATCGGACCGCGTTATCGCTGGGTCACGGTCGAACCGGTTTGACCGACCGGTTCGGTTCGGTTCGATTCTAATAACATTACTCCAAAGTGCATGTACACTTTAACATTATTTCTAGCCGCCATCAATCTTCAAAAGATTAAGGAAATAATTATTAATTATCGATTTTAATTTTATTTTATTTAATAGAACTACAATTAAGCACATTTTAGTAAGGGTTAATATGCTAGGAGCCCCTCAAATCAAACCTAATTCGAACTAAATGACAACCTTAAATTTAATCTTTTAATTAAATCCCTATTTTCAAATAATATATGAGGCACATCCTTTAATTTTTTTAATCCCTAATTTGCCCTTATAACCTAAATATAATATCTTATTCCTTTCGTTTTCTCTCTCTCACGTTCTCTCTCGCCGTTCTCTCGCTCTCACGTTTGCTCCCATCTCTCTTTTTCTCTCCTCTCTCTCTTCTTTTTCTCCAGTAACACCATGAAGGCCGCCGTCGCCGGCGACGGAGGGAGAAGGAGCAGGGGCAGCGAAGAGCGTCGTGGTGGAGGCAGCGTTGTGGGAGAAGGAGCAGGGGCGGCGAAGTATATCACGAATCTGACGAAGAAATGTTGGGCGACGGATCCGAATCAACGGCCGGGTGTTTCACTATGCGAAGAGGTTTTTGGCGATGAACCATGAGCACAGCCAGATCGACGCGCCGATGCCGCCGATTGATTTTGGGGAGATTGAATTGGGGATTGTGAGGGGGTTTCCGTTGATTGGGAACTCGAATTTGATGTCGATTTGGCAGATTCCGTTTAAGATGTCTGCGTATAGGGTTACGGAGAGGGAGAGGGCTAACGTGAGCCAGAGGGAGAACTCTGAATCGGGAAGCGATGGGGCTTCGACTTGCGACGAGAGCGTCGTTCCGGTGGAGGATCCGTTCACTTCGCCGTCGGGGAGGAAATCGTCGCTGCCCGGAAATTATGATCAGTAAAATCTCTATGTCGAAGAAATCGATGGAAGTCAAAACCCCCCAAACAACCAGGTAATTATTTTTCTCCTGTGTGTGTCTGTGTGTGAGAGAATAGAGATAGATTAATAAAATAAAATGATAAAAATGTTTGACGGTAGATACGCCGAAGGGGAGATCGAGTCGCATACTCCGACGGGAAGAGCGATGAGGATGAATTCGGAGAGCCAACTACGATGATGACGATGAGTCCACGAACACGGACAAGTTCCGGACACGCCTCCGATTTTGAACTGCCATAGTATATATACATATATATATATGTAGATATAAACATATGAAGTTGGAAAAAAATGATGATTATAGAACACTTCCATTTTGACTAGTGTCTCAATTATGCATTTTTTTTAGTTGTTTGTTTTTAAATTTGTGATGAACTGAGAGTTATATTCATAATTTATTTTTTTCTAATCATTCATTTCAATTTGAATTTTAAGTTATCTGGAACACAATATTGCAATAATTAACTACTAACTTGAAAATTAATAATTGAACATGGTGACGCGGTGTTGGCCATGAGGATGGCGTTCGCTGGTTTGCGGCCCTCGTGGTTGGGGGATGGTGCCGGTGACGCAGCGATAAGGGGGTGGGGGATGGCGACGACAATGTGGGTGGGGTTTGTGATATCTTTAGCGGCTTGACGTTGGCGTTCGATTTCATATCTACAGTTGTCTATGGGTGTCTATGGTGTCTAACGGCTAGGATTCAAAGGGCGTTCGATTTCATATCTACAGTTGTCTATGGGTGTCTATGGTGTCTAGCGGCTAGGATTCAAAGGAGGAGTTAGAGTTTTAAGAATATTGTGACTTCAGATTACTACAGTTTTCTATGGATGTCTATACGTGACTATGGTCTACTACAACTTTCCTACAATTTCTATGGCCGAATTTAAAAAAAAAAAAATCATAATATTCAATATTATGTAGAAAGAAAAGGAAAAAATAGATTATTATAATGATGAAAAAATACGAAAATGCAGAAAGGAAAATGATCGACGAAAAAAAATAATAACAAAAATGCTAGATGTAAAATTTAAAATATTAAATGCAGAATGAAAATGATAAATACAGTTTAAATATTACTTGATGCAAATTTTATTTTTTGTGTATGAGGGGTATTTTTGGAATAAAATTTATAAAGGATGTGAAGCAAATGTTTAGTTTGACTTGTCATTTAGTTCTAATAAAGTTTCTCACCAGGGACCTATATCTTAAAGCCCCTTTTAGTAATTTGGCACACGTTTTAAACTACACGTGATTTGCAATCTTTGAGTTAACTCATTCTATAAAATAATTAATTAATTAAATGCACGTGCTATAATTGTACAATTAATTAAAGCCACATGTTATAATTAAGTCCACGTGCTACGATTAAATAAATAATTAAATACAGTGCTATAATTAAACAAATAATAAATACATGATTAAATATTTAATGAATAAACATAAGCTATAATTAAATAAATTATTACCTTGTAGAATGGGACATACCCCGTGTAACAACAAATTATTATCTGCGATATAAATAGACAAGAAATATTGAAAAAATATAATTTTTATTGAATTAAAATAAATAAATTGTGGGTTACAATCTCTATTTTAATCCTTTGATTCTTCTTTCAAGAACAATATATAGTTGACTTGAATTTTCAAGGTCGGATCGTTGTGATTTTGAATTTTAAACAACGTTTTCCGAGGGTCTCGCGACTTGAATCTCGGAGCGAACGTTGAAGTTTGACTAACTTTGACTTGAAGATCTTAAAGTTCTTGATGGATTTGGCCCTTCAATCTTCCAATAATCTTGACTTAATTTTATTGACGTTAATCCAATGGTTTAGCACCGTTATCTCGAATCGAACACTGGATTTGATGAAGAACGCCTTGAATTTGCTCAATAACACCTTGAATTGACGAAGAACACTTTGTATGTAGAGAGAGAATCTTACCTTCTACGAATTCTTCTTCCTTGCTTCTTGAATTGTAGAGAGAATTTGCTCCTACGATTTCTGCTTCGTTAGTAGTCCCCGAATTATGAAGGGAGGGTCTCTATTTATAGTGGTAGAATAAGAGTTTTTGTTAGTCTTCTTTGATGACGTGGTACGATTTGATTAACTCTCTTTAAATTGATAATTATCTCTTATAACTTGGAATAAAAGAAATAATCATATTGGTCAAAGATTAATTGATATTTATTTTCATGACTTATTTTTCAAGACTAATTATAATCTTGGAATTCAATTTTAATATAATATAAATTATATTAATTTATTGCGTCTATAAACGGCTGTGAGGCGGGGCGACGGTGAGTTGGTCGGACGGCGACGAATGGGCCGGCGATGAGTGGGTTGGACAGCTGCAGTGACAGGAATCAACAACCGGCGAGTTGGTCAGCAGGGCGGTGTGTGGGGCTGCGGTTAATGGAACCACCGGCGGTGGATGGAGTCGCCGGAACTTGGTTCAAAATTGTTGTCGTGTTTTCTTTTTTTGGACAAGGGCGGATATTTTGGAGATGAGGGAAAGAAGTGGGGTAAGTGGGCGAATTATAGAGAAGAGTGAAAGGAGTCGCCATTGACCGAAGCGAATGCATAGAAGAGAGAAAGGTGTCGCCCCCGTGACTGACGATTCCAGTCAAAACACGCTTATCGAGGTGTTCTTCACCACTTCTAGCCGTTGGAACACTAATCTCTAATCTGAGCACACAAATTATTTACATAAATACTCTCTCTGTCCCATATTATATGTCTTTTTAGAGAATTTTTCTTGTCCCAAATTATTTGTCATTTTAGATTTACAATGCATCATTAATTGCACTATTTTCAATTTTACCCTTTATAACTCCTAATTAGTTAGTTGTAAAACAATTAATGTCAACGATATATTAGTATTTTCCTATGCTTTTTACTATAATCTATACACATTTATTGATTTTCTTAATATGTGTGAAACAACCCAAAACGTCATTTAAATTGGGACGGAGGGAGTAAAACAAAGACATTAATTCAAATTTAGAATTTATAAAAAACATAAAAAGAGTGTGTCGTGGTTGGTGGCGACTCCAGCTGATTTCACCATCGGACCGGACGCCGAACCCCAATTTGTTTACACCTGTGAAAATGAAAATAATCCTATTTTATTTACCCGATTTAAAAACAATCCTTAAAATAAAAATTGACCCTCATTAACTTACCAAAAGTGATTACTTGAACGAAGAAGAAAAAAATGATAGTAATTCCATTTTTAACCTTTAAAGAAGTTAATAAAAAAACATCATTTTTACCCTTTTTAAATTTTATTTAAATAAAAAATAATGAATTTGATGTACTTTTTTCTCAAGGGATAGTCTTTAGGGCTCGTTCGGTTACTCCTATAAGATTCTATTGACTAAATAGTATGGACTAATAACGCGTCTGGTTGATAAGATTCACATTTTTTCAAATCCGCTACTAAAATCAAAGCCCGCTATTAAATGCTATTATTGCATTAAATTAGTAGAACCCCTCCCGAGAGATTAATTTAATAGGGGGTAATTTAAAAAGAAAAGGACAATTTTATCCTTAAAATCATATCGTATTATTTTAAATTAAGTGGTTTTGTAGACAATTCATATATAATAACTGAATTTAACAAATTTAATAGAAGATCTAATCTAAGAAACCGATCATGCTACTGACTAAATAATTAATTAGCCAGTAGTAGACACGGCCACGGGCCGGTTCGGGCCGGTTCAAACCGGTTCACGGTTCACATTTTCCGGAACCGGAACCGGCCCGTAGTATGGGCGGTTCAGCGGGCCGGGTCGGCCCGCCGGTTCGGGCCGGTTCCGGGTCGGCCCGGAAATTTTGAATTTTTTTTTTTTTGTGAAATATTTTATGAATAAGTAAATTAAAAGAAGTACTTTTAAATAGAAAAAGAAAAAGGAAATAAATGAAAAGACTTGAACTCAATTTTAAATTCAAATTTTTAAAGATTTCGAATTTATAGGAAAAAATGGGGGGGAAACAATTAAAAAAAAAAGTAAATAACGGCCGGTTCACCCGAGCCGGTTCGGGCCGGTTCACTAGCCGTTATTTGCTTTTTTTTTGAATTTTTTTGATTTTTTAAATCCGGGTGAACCGCCGGGCCAGCCCGGCGGTTCACGGTTCACCATTTCTAAGAACCGGGCCCGTCCCGGGGAGGACGGGCCGGTTCACGGGTCCGGGTCGGTTTACTTGGTCAACGGGCCGGTTTGGGCCGTCAACGGGCCGGTTCCGGGCCCAAAACCGGCCCGTGGCCATGTCTAGCCAGTAGAAAGTTAATCCAATCCATCTAATCCAATATAGGTAACCGAACGTGCCCTTAATCTTTATAATTTTTTTTTGTTAAATCAAAAACAATATTGGGGTGAGGTAAATTTCAATTGATGCATTTGAGTTGAATTTATAGATGAGACCAACCATGAGATATATGTACTTTTAAAAATCTGAGAGGATCTAAATATAATTTGACCTAACCTAGTGATAAAATTAGAATTCGTTCACCTTGAATAGTGAGACATAATGAGCTGGGAGAGCATAGTGGATCACTTGCTCACAAGGTAGATGGTCCTGAAACACCTTAATGATATGGAGATTCCTGCGTAAAAAGTAAACGTAAACTAAGTCGGAGGTTGATCCGGCAGAAGCCCCTCCGATGATTAAGTTAGATATTTGGGCTGTGAAATAATCCAGAGAATACGAATAGTCGAGTTGCTTGAATAATAGAACGTATCTTTAACAAATATATTTATATCATGTTGAGTGGATTGATCTTAATTTGTTGGGCACAAACTTTATTTGAAGGTGTCTGAGCTTTTGTAGTATTGAACCTTTAAATTGGGCTTGTGGTCTATTAGATAAACAAATCGTAGGTTCACTGGGTCGGTCCAATAAGACATATCACTTAGGTATCCCTAGAATAATAAGTGGGAGTGGTTGGATTAATCTTTAGGGTAAATTATTTCTTTTAAGTATTTACAACTACCCATCAACTATGAGTCTTCTTTTACATCCATCAATATGGTGTCAAATTCAATAGAATCTTCTAGATTTTGTGAAATGTTCTCTAATTTGTACTCGTTTTGTGCAAAAAAATAAAACAGTTTCAGATACACCACAATATGATGCATCTTAATATCTTATGATTATCTTATTTTTAAAATGTCGAGCTGTAATATGATAAAACGGATTACAAACAGAAGAATCCTCCACATAATCTAGAAGATTCCACTAAATTTACTACTGCACGGGTGGACGTATTAGAAGATTCATAGTTAGTGGGTGACTGTAATGACCTAGATATAAAGGGTGTTTTTCGTAATTTAACATTACCCTCGTGTTGACTGTAATTTACCTTAATCCGACAGTGTACGTATCCGTCTCTTACTTTCAAAAGCCCGCCGCTTCTCCATCTTCTGTGGCGCGCACCCCTAACTCTGGCGCGACAGCAGCAAAACTCTCCGACCCGAATTATATTGGAATATATTTTTAATACGTAGAATCCCAAACTCGGGTGAGTCTCTTGACAACTTTCTGATCAAAGTATTTAATCCTACAATTTCTTTCGTTCGCTATTTTATGTGTATTGTTTTTTTTTTTTATTATTAACTATGCTTGTTTTCACTTCGAACTCTCTTACTCAATTTTGTTATAGGAATTATGATTGAGATAAAAATATGTAATTTTTTTTGAATTCTCAAAGGAAACTGTGTATATGCTCAGTTTTTCTTCGGCTACATAATTACTGGTTCCCCGATTCCCCTCCTGGTGTCTCGAACCCATGACCAAATAGTCCTAGGGGCAAGGCGCTTAACAGCAAGATACTTCTGTTTTGATATTTGCTATTGTCTTTAAAATGTCAATTCAGAGTCGCGTTGATTAATACCCGACATATAATTTGACTGATTTCGCTGCATTATGATGATTTTCATTAATCTTTTTAACGTTTTCATTACCTAGTTTTCACGAAAAGAGTCGATACATTGTCCATATATTCGAATAGGTGCAATGGTACAGAGATTAGAGCAGCAATGCCGAAACTGTGAGAGCAACGTTGGCTTTACGCAATCCGATGATGATGGCTACTTCTATTGTGACAACTGCAGCGAACGGGATATGGATATTATCGCTACCGGTCTTGACGAAGAGCAGCTTAACATCCGTTACTCTAAAGGTTGCAACACATCCCGCCGCGCGAATCCCGTTGAACCAACTGTACCCACAATTGATTTTGAGAACAATAATTCAATTAGCTATGAGGAGTATTATTCCGAGATTAGATCGAGATACTTGAACGGCCTTCAGTTTATGATCCAATTGCAGTGCCGGGCTTTAGTCGACAAGTTTAATGTTAGCCCTTTGATTATCGGGCTTGTCGGACCTCTTTGGTTAAGGTTTGTGGCTTCCACTAGGATTACCTCCGATGAATGGGCCGACCAAACTTTTCAAGATTCAGAGTCTCAGATACAAGGTAAAATTCTTCATTGTCTTTTCGAATACGAAATGTATTTTAGCTTATTTATTTTCCCAATTCGTGTTTCAGGGGAAGAAGATAACGAATCTTCCCATCCCGGGGATAGATATGGTTCCGAACCTATTAATATTCATCGGAAGCGTATAATATACGTATGGTACAGATCACTTAAATCGGCAATACCTATATCTCTTTCTTTAGCTATCTCGTTCCTCGTCTGTCATTTAGCTAGGGAGCCAATTACCCCATCGGACATATCCAATTGGACCCTCGAAGGAAAGATTCCTTATTTTTCCGCTTTTCTTGAAATCGAAAATAAATTCAGTCCTCGGTCAAATGCATGCCCGATCCTTGCCAGCTGTATGTTCAGACCTATAAAAGCCGTTTCGTCGCAGAAGTTGGAGTCAATGGCGGCCGATGTTGCTCGGAGGATTCGTCTGCAGTTGCCTCCGGTGAACTTCCACGCAGTTGCTTCACGCTATTTGAGGCAGTTATCCCTTCCAATTGAGGAATTGCTCCCTTTGGCGTGCCGTATATGTGAGTGGTCGAATCCTCCTGAATTGTACCTTTCGGCTAATGAGCTTAGAATTCCTACACGTGGGTGTGTCGTGTCGATAGTGATTGTGGCGATTAGGGTTCTTTACGGCATTAATGGTTACGGAATGTGGGAATCTAGCCTGTCTAATAAGAATCCCAATTCGGAGCTTATGCAGATTCTAGAAGCAAAATATAATGAGACGGATGACATGCAACAAGGTAATTAGTTTATAACACCGGACATAATTAATTTCTTGAACTGCAATACTTTTATTTAGTTTCTTGAGATAGAAGGCATAATTAATCTAGTTTTTTTTTTTTTGCCTCGTTTTGCAGAATATTCCAGCGATTTGCCGTCGTACCTCGATTATTGCAAGGATGTAGTTTTCCCTGGATTACGGCCATCATATAAGGATCCTGAAAAATTAAAGTTGTTGAAGATAGAAAACGAGTTGCTGGACGAGTTGTGGGAGTTTTATCAGAATAACAAGGTGCTTTTAATTGTTAATGCTATCTTGTTTAGTAGTATGTTAAGGCCTCGTTTGGTTGCCGAGATAAGATTAAATAGTCTAATGAAACCCAATTATATTATTGAACGTTGGAAGATCCAATAAAAAAACATGCCTAGAAGGCAAGAAAGCCATGATAACATAATATTTGCGGGTCGACCCGGCAAGTTACTGATGATACCAAACATCAAACTAAAGTCCAATTATTTAGTTAATCATGGCTAATCTCCCCAACCAAACGAGGCCTAATAGTTTCTGTTTTTGTTAATGAGAATGTGAACTCAGTCTCTACATTCACATAATTATTTCTATTTTGAGTGTTTCAGGATATTAAAAAACAAATTGACAAAAATAAGACCAGGGTCGAAGATTATTCGTACGGTGATCAGGATTCAGCGCGTGAAAATCGAGCTTCGAAAGATTTGGCAATAAAGCGAATGAAGATGGATATGGAAGATAATAAATTCTGTTATATTCCACCGAGGAGTAATGTGAAGAGGAAAGACTATATACATTATGCTCGGAAAAGGGAAGATGTGTATGTATATGCTGTTCATGCCGATTATTACGTTTTACTGCGGTCTTGTGCTAAGGTTGCCCAAGTTGAGACAAGGATCATGCATATTGCTGTTTTGGCTCTAGAGAGGAGATTGCAATGGATGGAGAAACGGGCCGATTCTTCGTTGCGTATGAAATTCAATTTGAATGATACTTGCGGCTTTTGCAATAGTGAATCCGCTACGGATGATGATCGTATGGATTTAAGCATTTGATTGTATAATCTCTCTCTCTCTCTCTCTCTGATCCGATTTTAATTTCTGAAAATATTTCTAAAAGAATATTGTAGTGTCGATATGGACGATCGTAACTAAAAAATATACTATGTAAATTTATGAAAACTCGAATCAAATATTACTCCATGCAGTTAAGCGTGGAATTTGGCTTTTTGGGCAGCGGGTATTTCCTGTACACACAAGAGTTTATATTATGCACGTAATATTAGGATGGCGATTTGAAATTCATAATAATAACTCTTTTGGACTTGTTTGAATTGAGGAATTTGATAAGGAATGATATTTTAAATCCCCTCTAAATTCCTCCATCCAAATGGAGCCAAATTGAGATGGTTATTTACTTATTTATATATTTTGATTGAATTCCCAATATGAATTGATGTGTAAATTGATATTAACAAAATCTATAAAAATAAAACATTTTACAATATTTCGATATTATCCTTGGAATTCCTTTTCTTATACTTCTAAAAATTATTTTTTACATATTGAAAACTTCTTTTAATATTACTTCTAAAATAACTAGTAAGATCTGGGAATTTGTAAAATTAATCTAATGGTCCTCATTGTATAAAAAGACATAAAATTAAAGGATGTATTTCAATTGCACACCAATAAAAGCCTCAGCATTCGAATAGTTCCTTGTTTTCTACTTTCGAGTTCCTCCAGTACTGGGCTTAAGCTGCGAATTGCACATATAGCAAAATTGACTCAATAAATAGTAAAACTTACAATGCACAACAAATCTTACACCTTCATATATTGCAGATGCGTCGACACCCTCATAGACATATGCTTTTTAATGCAGCTAGGACCTTGAAAGAACAAGAAAATCATGATATACTTTCAGTTGTGCCTTGCGATTATCCAAATTTAAAAAACAGATAGAGGTAGTATAGTATTCAAAAAACAGAAAATTTTAGTTAACACAAGAAAATCATATAGTAAAATACTTAGATACATACATATATATATGGATTAGATAATAAAAAGTAGCAAAACATATACTACCTGATTCCACTATCCCACCCAAAGCCCATCTGTTGTGAATCTGCCCGGTGGCATATGTCCTTTTTCCACGTCTTTCCGACGGTGGCCAAAATTTTAACAGATTTTGCTTTTATTTAGGGGCCTAAATTAAGACCTGGATCCATTACTACCGGCCCATCGGGCGACCGAACATGTTTTTTTGTTAAATGCAATATATATATATATATATATATATATATATATATATATA